TTTAATTTTTCAAATATCAATCAGTGTGAATTATTTTTGTCATCTGAATAGAAATGTTTATCCTTGATGATATAGACCAACACATAAGTGTAGAAGAAACATCCCAGTACTTATTCCAATACATTCTCTGAAACCCTGGATGGTGATTTATCCATCTATAACTGTAATACATAAAGAAATAATTAGGTCTACCACAAAGGATCCTGCTAGAAATAAGACAACATTCCTAATTTTAACAAATTAAGTGCATTTACCCTTAATTTAAGCAGGTAAATACTATGATTTGCCAATGGAATGAGTATTTTGTACTCTTAAAATAAGATTAGATAATGCACTCTTAAAATAAGACAATGCAATTGTTTTTTTCTTATTGTACATGTATGTTGTCTTTTTCCATTGGCAATGTGTCTTACTGACCTCCTCAGTTCAAGAACAAATACACTTATTTTAGGAAAAAATTACTTTCGTTATTGAAATCTGTTAAACATGTGAACCTATATGCTTAGATCCCAGCAATAAGAGTTTCAAGTTCTTACATGATTGAATGAAACAGTTTTTTTTTCCTCCAGTTTTCAACGTCTGCACGGACTTGTCATGAACTTCAGCACCACCCACAGTACCAACCAATGCAAAGCCAACACCTCCCTACAGATTTTTTCCCTCCCGCTCCCAGTCACTCAGTGGCTGCTCTCAGCCTTGGCTCCCCTTCTCTACTTGTATATGCATATTTTTATCACAGTCACTCTCAGCTCTGCCTGTGTGTATTTATTTCTGAATACACCTGCCCTATCTGGCTGTGTCTTCAACAGTCTTTCTGGGTCATATGCCTCTTGTAATTTTCCATTCTGACTCTGTGATACTGACTAAACCAACGTCTTTAACCCTCTGAAACTCTGAAGCCGGCTCCAATCATGTCAATCTATTTTGGACCCGGCCGGTTCATCTGAGCTGACTGGAGCTGCGGATGTTTAGCAGTGAGATTTAGCTGCTTATAAATGAGCTGCTCACAGCGTTTTTTAAATTCATGAAGCATTGAAGTTGACTTTGAGGTTTTAACCTGTCTGTAGCTTAAATTTTATGTATTACATTTGTTTTTTTCATTTTTTTTCCCTCAGCCTACAATTTATACTTTTTAAAGTAGTGTTTGTTCACAAAATTATCGAGGAGAAAGGTAGCTTGATTTCAACCATAGCGTCTACACTGACACAAATCTTACTTTCACAATAATATAATAAAATCTCACAGTAAGTTTTAGATTGGATCGTTAACGTCAGCATAGGCTTTGGCTGCAACAAAGAAATTGCTGTTACAGTTTAGAAAAAGGATAGACAAACTAGAACTTCTTTAATAACAGTTATCTTTTTTTATTTTATTCATATTATCAGTTTTATCCTGACAAAGGATATGATTTAAAAACACAGATGTATCTGTTTTTTATTTTAACGAATTCAAGAACTGACCAAAAAAATGTCTTTCACTGTTGAAAAAGGGCTACTAACTACTCTCTAATTGCTCATCTCATCCTCTTTAGTTTAAATAACTTAAATGAAAACCGCTTTTTGTTGCCATTTGCTTTTCTGATATCGGTCGGGGTAAAACTTGCCTCACTTTCAGCATCACAGCGAAATCAAGAAATTGTGAGATCTTCTCTCAGTCTAAATATTCAATTTTTAGTGTTTGATCAATCATTGGTTGACTTGCTGGTGTGTTTATGTTCATTATAATTTTGTAGAGTTTAATTATGGTTCAGCTTTAATATGTATAAATGATCTCTCTCACAGTCAAATTCATGGTGATGAGCAGAAAAGGTCGTGGGATCAAATCAAGCTCTATTTATGACACTTTCAGCTTGATGTTGAAACATTGTTGTGAGGATTTTTTTTCTGAAATCTTATGTTTGGTTTAAGGCTGAAACAATTAATCACATTAATCGTGATTAATCAGTTATTGAAATAACCGTCCACTAATTTAGTAACTGATTAATAGTTAAATGGAGTATAGAGAGTGTAGAGCATGCCATTAGCTGACGAAGTGACCCATTAAGAGCAGTAATTTTACCAAACTTTAAAAAAAAAAAAAAATACCAAACTTTAAAAAATATATATATATATATATTGCATAAAAAATATTCTTGTCTGTCAATATGATCTATCCAGAAAACTTTTGTGTTACCTGTTTTATTCTGTAAAAAAATCTTCTTCAATCCTATCCGATTATTAATTGATTATTAAAAAAAAAAGACAGATTAATTGATTAGCAATATAATCCTTATTTGCAACCCTAGTTAGGTTTATACTAAAGATTTTCTGTTTTCTGGTCAGTTTATACTTCCCTGTCTGGAGAACATTAGTGCAGAAGTCCAGGTCTTCCCTCTGACAAACTTCAAATTGGTCTTTTGTTTGGTTTTGTGTTTTGTTTTTTCCAGAGAGCAAATGTTTCCTACTCAAACCCCTTGTATGAAACTTTAACTTCAGTGGTTCCTTCTTATCATATTGGCATAATGAAAGATTGTGCAAATGCGATAGGTGCTGCTCTGGGTCCCATGGATGCAGTTATTGGGTTTTGGACACTTCTTTTATCATTTTGCGGTCTGCTCTTAAGGTGAACCTGCTATGACGTGCAGCATGCTTATGATATTATGTGTTTTGCCATACCACTTTAAACAGTGTTTGGTTTAGTTAAATGAGATATTAAAACTTTAAGTTCTTAAATGTTAACAATAGCACATAATCTAATGAGTTCCAGCTAGCACTTAGCAAACTGATCAAATATAATCGGATGTTAGATTTTGTTATATACAGAGAAGGTTATTATCCATCTTTATGACCAAGGCTTGTAATAAAGTAAAAAAAAAAAAAAAGAAAGCATTTCTACCAGCTTGTGTTAATATTGGCTATAACCGTTTTCCCTACAGCTTTTGTATTCTTTTCTGCCCCTAGCAGCTGTACCTTGAACTTGGCTGTCCCAGGAACGCAAAGTTTCAGAAAGTCCTTGTCTATAGGTTCACTGACAAACTCCAATGTTGTTTTTGGAGGGTTCAAACCTTTTCCTGGCATGCTTCCCACGTAAGTCAAACATAAGCAGTATGTTTGGGGTCGTGGACTTTGACACGAACAGCCATTACCGTTATCTAGAGCTAAATTTACCAGGTTGATCAGGCCTGGGCTAGTTGGAACATCGGCTGATGATGTATTTATTTACAGTGGAGGGATTTGATTCATTTCAGCATCTTCTTTTAGATCTTTACTAAAAAATGTCAAGATTTCCTGACATCAATATTATTTGGAGGCAAATTGACCAAAACTTTCAGAGGTTCGAGATTCCTAGTTTTAGAGAACACTTTAAAACTATGAAAGCTCACAGTATCATACTGTAGGTCCTCCACCATGCTTTGCAATTGGCATAAAATGCTTTAATAATCATCTTAATTTGTCGTTGGACCACTATGAAATGTGTCCCCTGTATTTAACCCATTCCTTAGAGAGCAGTGGGCTGCCACTGTGCAGGGCCTGGGAACGTTGCTAAGCGACTCAGAGGTATTAAAGTGGCAGTCTGTTGGATTTGCAACAGGAAACCTGCAGCTTTACCTGCTATGAGCACTAGGCTAAAATTCCCCATGTTTTGAGTCCTTGCTGCTAAAAATTATTAGTTCTTATTAACTACACATTTATGCACATCATATTAGGACTTAAAGCGATTTTTTCGAACCTAGTGTCTAACTCTGTATGTCAACAGGTATGCATGCAGATAGTTTCTAATGGTTGCTATGCAGCCCCTTTTTTGGCTGTTCCCTTTTAATTTAATCACAATCCACTTCCCTGTTCTTAGTTGAGGTAAACTGGGATTGTTTTCCAGCTTGTGAACTCTTGCTCTGAATGTAAATATGACAGTTTATAGACAGGAAGCTATTTTCTGTCGTCATTTCCTGACTTCTAAACATATTTCTGTCTCACTTGAATTGTTATATCTTCCTTAAAGGAAAGCTTAGAGATAAACTGGTGTTTTCTATACAAAACAGAACAAAAATGTTGTTATCCTTGTTGAATTAATCTCTGGAGTAAATTGTTTGGGGAAAAATCTGAGCAAATGGTTTCTACTTAAACCCATTGTATGAAACTTTACGTTCAGTGGTTCCTTCTCATCATATTGGCATAATGAAAGATTATGCCAATACGATAGGTGCTGCTCTTGATCCCATGGATTCAACTTTTGGGTTTTGGGCAATTCTTTTAGCATTTTGCAGTCTGTTCTCAAGGTAAACCTGCTATGAAAGGCAGTGAGCTTATGTTAGCGGGTGTTTTGTCATACCATTTCAAATAGATTTGGGTAACTTTTACTGAAATTAAAAGGTGGATTCTTTTCAAAATTCTAATGAAAGATCATGCTTCTGAAATTCATAATAAACGATTGAAAGAGTTTTTAGACATTATCTAGCGTGTGTTTTTCTCATATTGCATCCAACAATACGTGCATGTGTTTTCTGATTCATTAGCCCCTCAGCAGTCATACCTTTGGGTCAAGTGAGAAAAATGCTTTGCCTCTTCCTCTGTTTACTATCCGTTGTTTATCTTATATAATACATTTTTTGTTGTTTAAATTGAAACTTTTGTAAAATTTCTTTTTAAATCTTTTTTTTTTTTTTTCCTTTTTCTCAAGCGATATCGAATTCAAAAAATAAATTCCATAAAAATTGCAGCATGTAGCAGAGCCTTTATAACACCTGTATCTGGACACTCTACTGGAGGGTGCTATAGTTTAGAAAAACTGGACTGGTATCCCTTTGATTTATCACCCTGCTTCCTTTGTTTTTGGCAAGATGGAGAAGGCTGCACTGGATTCCAGTGAGGAGAGAAACTGGCTGGGAGATGGCCAGGCTGAAGTGCAGCTTGCAGCCAATCCTGATACAACAGAGCCAGATGATGGAGATCGGCCTGCCTGGGATTCTAAGATCCAGTATGTTTTGGCTCAGGTCGGCTTCAGTGTGGGCTTAGGGAATGTCTGGAGGTTTCCATACCTTTGCCACCAAAATGGAGGAGGTAAGTGCCTTTAAAGAGCTTAATCTTGCAGGATAAACACAGCAAACCTCAATGTATAATAAACTTGTTACATTAAAAGGAAATAGTCAATTGCTTATTTTTTTGTTAATCTTTCTCCTTTTATTTCCTCCAGGGGCCTTCATGCTCTTGTATGTTTTTCTTTTACTGATTGTGGGAGTCCCTCTGTTTTTTATGGAGCTGGCTGCTGGCCAAAGCATTCGACAGGGAAGCATCGGCGTATGGAAGCACATCTCCCCGAAGCTGGTGGGGATTGGTTACTCCAGCTGTGTGGTGAGAGTCGCTCTTTTGAGTAAAGGCATGTAAAAGCCATGTGGAAACAGAAAACCGTACTTACTGCATTTGTTGTTTGCACAAGGTTTTAGGATTACTAACTTGTGATAATTATATTTCTGGCTTTAGAACGCTGGGTGTGTTTGAATAATCATTCCTCTGTTTTCCGCTGCTTAGCCTGTGGTATTTCTTTAGTCCCACTTTCTGTAAACGAACTTTCTTTTGATCAGTCACTGCAGAGTGTGTATACTTAGAGATGGTGGTGACTTCATTTCATGCTGTAACTTGAGAGCAGATCATGTCGCTGTGGCTTTTTGCCATTACTCTGTTGCGTGACAGTTATCTTTGCAGACAAGGTAACCTCAAAACCCATAAAGATTAGTACACACAACGTCATAATAGACATGTATCATTATTGTTTTCTATAAAGGAAATTCTTTTTTTATCTAATTTTCAGGTTATTTGTCTTCACCATGGAAGACAGCTTTAACAGCAGAACTGAGAAATAAATGTTCGCCTTTGAAATTCTGTGGTTTTATTTTCCTAAATTTGGAGTACAATCAGTTGGATTTAACTCTGCGTAAAAGTATCCTAATATGTTTGCATATTTTTAAGCAGGCCAGGTTCTGCTTTTATGGCAGCTGGGTAAGGGGTTGCAACATCAAACTACGGATGAGGAAAACAAAAATTTTTGTATGCTAATGCAGGAGAGGAGGGAATCCCCAAAAATAGCACTTATTGTACACTTGGTAAGATGTTGAAAATTGTAAATTACCCATTAATTTACTACAAAATATATTGCTGTACTACATGTACTTCAAAAAGATGTGACAGCAATTGCTTGAATGATTTTTTTTGTGCATACAGTAGCATAGTGCTCCCACCCCCTACCTGTTGCTGCTTGTTACTTGTTACTGCTGTTTTCTTCGTTCCCTTAGTAACATAAATGGAATCTTTTTGCTTTAGTCTTTGACTTAAATGTAAACATAACCTCACAATGAATTTTACAGATAGCATAATTATGGCTTTTCTATTTATTCTCTACTCCAACCAGTAAGTGTTTTTTATTTATTTTATTTCTACGTATTTATATTGCAATAATCAGTTGTATTACTCCTACTGCTTAGAGTACGGACTGATTAGAACAGTAATAATAATGCATCTTAATCAAATTACTTTTTATCCCTCTCCTTTTTTTTTTATAGAAACAGTCTACATCATACATGGATATTTAAACGTTTCTTTTTAGAAAACTAAATATTTAATTTGTGATATTTTTGGTTATGTTTTTTTATTTTCATTGTAATCTCACCACTGTGGCTAAGATACTTCACCTGCATTCCCTAGCTCTGTTGACCTGGTGACGCCTGTGTACGGCAGCCTTGTTTCTGTCAATGTGCCCCAGGGCAGCTGTGGCTACAAAGTGTAGCTTGCCACCATCAGAGTGTGTGAATGGCTCAGTACATTGTAAAGTACTTTGGTCCAGTTTCCTGAATTGAAAAAGCGCTATATAAGTACATGCCATGGCCTGACCTTTTTCATCATGTTGTTAGGCAGTAACAGCTACATTCCTGTAAATAAATTGCTTGGATAATGCTAATATATTCGCTTTCTGTCTTTATCTATTGATATCTGGACATATTTCAGTTCAGGGTTGGTCAATTTTAAAGGTTTAAAACTAAGATAAAACTTTGTTTCTCCTGCCTGCTTAGTTTTAAGCATTGTTAAATGTGATAATTAATCAGTCATCCTCTGTGTCTTTACCTTTTCTTTTTTACATCAACAGTTTTGGGATATCAGATTTCAACATACAGAGTACCTGACATGAGGCAGACTGAAATCTGCAGCAGCCAACACAGTCTCTTTAGCAGTTGATATCATAAATGAAGAAAAACATAGATATTGTTTGAGACATAAAATGACATTCCAATAGTTTATTCTTTTGGCAAGGCTGGTATAAAAAAACAAAGACCTACAAATCTAATAAATTATTTATTATTTATATCTTAAACTGAAGGCCAAGTCTTAAGCTTATCCTTTCCTAGCAATATTTCTTTACGTATGCAAACTGTAGTTTTTTTAGGAAATCTTGAGGGATTCACACAAAATAAATTCTGTCTGCAACCATTTGCTGGAACCAACATTCACAAACATCCAGTTTAAAAATGTCTATTTTCTAAGTTTTTTTTATTTGTACAAAACATTTGTTCATTTCTTATATTGTGATTCCTCTTAAACTTAAATGATGCAATCAGCCGAAAAAAGCAACCTATGGAAATTGTCACATTAATCTTGAAATAATGAATCAATAGCCAAGATCTAAAGAAAAATATATACATTTTTTTTTTCAAAAATGTTGCCAATAATTTGGCAACTTGAGTGGAAAACCATCCCATACAGTGTTAATCATATTCAAGCTCACAGCAAAACAGTCATGATTTAAGCTTTTTTTTTCTTTCTTAGGTTTGTTTTTATGTGGCTCTTTACTACAATGTCATCATTGCATGGAGCCTTTTTTACTTGGGAAATTCCTTCCAGTATCCTTTGCCGTGGGAACAGTGTCCTATTGATGTAGCCACCAATGACACAGGTACTGGCATAATGGAGTTGTTTGATCTGACATGTCAGGGAAGCACTTCGCTGAGCTATACTCTGTTATCTGTCTTCAATAAACAGTGAAGGAGTGTGCAAGTAGCTCCCCAACACCCTATTTCTGGTTCAGGAAAGCGCTGAACATCACCAACTCTATAGAGGAGTCTGGAGAGTTTAACCCCATCATGACAGGCTGCTTGTTGGCTGCTTGGGCCATCGTATCGCTGGCTATGATCAAGGGCATCAAGTCCTCTGCAAGGGTAAGAGAATCTCAATTCCATCAATGCTTTAATAATCTCCTAGTCTATTTTAAAAGGACTATAAACTATGAGGGACCTATTTTCCTTGTTAGGGCTGATGATCATCTGGCTCTGAGAGGCCACAGAAAATATATGATTTGAATCTAAATAATATCAGATTTTAAAGGTATAATGGAGGATTTTCAAATTTTTTTAAAAGACCCGCCCCCTCCACTTAAAAAAGAAAAAATCACCTGCACAACCCTGTACCACATGAGAGGGAACTCCTATTAAACGCGTGTGAGAGCGTGCACGAGCCCATTTCTCCTCGTACAGGCTCTGCTTAAAAGTTGCTGTTTTCATCTTTCAGGCAAGCTTACTTTTAAAGAGTTTGGCAATTTTTCCACTATGTCAGACTCACGTAAGTGAAAATGGTGGCAAGCACATAGGACGGCTTTTGTAAACATATCATCAGAATGATTGACAATTAGGAGGACCACTTATGTATATGATCCACCCGGGGGAAAAAAAGATCCTCCACTATACCTTTAATATCTTAAGTCAGGGGTCTTCAAGGTTTTCCAGGCCAAGGACCCCCAAACTGATGGCCAGATCGAGCGAGGACCCCCTATTTATATATATTGCATGAAATTTTGTAATATTAAACTGGTCCTATAGTCAGTCTATTTCATATAGTGTCATGTAACGATAGTAATTTCCCCCTGGGATTGTTAAAGTCTGATTCTGATTCCTTGTTGATGGGACAGGTGTTGTGAATGAAACGGTGCCCAGCTTGAAAGAGCTTCTGTGTGCATTGATGACTGAAAGATATCTTCTGCCTCCATTTATCTGTTTATTACAGTGTGTTGAATTCATGTTAATGTGTATTTAAGACATTTCAATTAATGGAAAAAAAATTCCAGGGGGGAATATAAAAAAAGTCTAATCAACCAAAACTTTTGCGACCCCCATGCAGTACCTCTGAGGACCCCCTAAGGGTCGCGGACCCCCTGTTGAAGACCTCCGTCTTAAGTTATCTGCTAAATCATTGGATTAATTAGCTCTGATCAACTGTGGAAATTAAATTTAAGTTAGGTAATAATTAGGTAATTAATGTACTTAAGCTGCATTATAGGTTCAGAAAGGTTATGTACGCTCCTCAGTTTGCACATGAGCATTATAAGTAATGTTATTTTATTTCCAGCTGAAGAAAATGTGGATGTTTTTTAAGGTCATACATTTTACTTGGACAAATGCTTCAAATTTTGCTGCTTTGAAGAAAAAATATTATTGTATATAAATGATTCTCTGTCTCTTCGGGTTTTAGGTGATGTACTTTTCTTCAGTTTTTCCCTATGTGGTGCTCTTCATTTTCCTCATTAGAGGGATGCTGTTGGATGGAGCCATGGATGGAATCACATACATGTTTTATCCTAAAGTAAGCAAGCCAAGGATGTTTTGCTAAAAAAAAATTTACGTTAATGCCATAACAAAATAAGCATTTAAAGAAAAACAAGAAGGCAGTTTGTTGTTTGTTAAAATCAGCAGCTCAGTATGATCTGCTCTTGTCATGTATTTTAGCTGGAAATTTGGGGCAACGTACAGGTGTGGCGACAGGCAGCTACACAGGTGTTCTTCGCATTGGGTCTGGGGTACGGCTCTGTTATCGCCTATTCCTCCTACAATCCGGTCAACAACAACTGCCACAGGGACGCCCTGATGGTCTCGTGTATCAACTTTATGACATCTGTGCTGGCCTCACTCGTGGTTTTCGTGGTGCTGGGTTTCCGAGCCAAGACCATTGCCTTGCAATGCATTGCTGAGTATGTATACCTACTATACTTGTGTGTTTGTGGCTAAAAGCTAAAGGCCTAATGTTTTAATTAAAAAAACACAAACCTAATAATTTTTGTGTCTAATCTCCTTTCAGAAACCTTGGTGTGTTGAATATGATGTATTCCAATGAACCCAGGCAGCAGGGGTGGCCTTCCTTCAATGTTACAGATCCAAGCTCTGTGTCTGTTCCTGAATACAGACAGTGGTACACTGAGTACGGCTCCATGTTTAATAACATCACTGACTGCAATTTGGAGGAGGAAATGAACAAGGTAAAGCTTCTTTATGATGAAGAAGAAAAGACTTTAATGATCACTCTCTGTATTTATTTATTTATTTAACGTCAGATTTCTCACTTTAATTTTACCATGAAAAGCATTTTTTAGAATGAACAGATCAAGCTTTTCTCAAAAAATCTTCTTTCCAAGTTTGAAGACGTTTTGCTTCCCATCCAGGAAGCTTTTTCAATTCGAAATGTCAGAAATAGGAGTTCGAGGCTTTATAGAGTGGACCAAAAACAAAGCCTTGTTTTGGCTTAGGAAACATGGAAATTGAACTGGAAGAGCGGGTCTGCCCTTTGTTAGCCTGCAATACCTGATACCTGTCTATGTCTCTGAAATTGGGGTCGCTAGGGGGAATGGTTGGCCTGGCTGACCAGGCAAGATGCTCTATGTGGTTGGGAGTTGCTATGATAGCAGGAAGGAATTGACTCTATTGTTGCATTGTAGGTTTTTGAAAGCTGAAACCATAGTCCACCCCCTTCATTTAAGGTTGTTTTATCTTTCTCAGCATAGAAGGCTTACTTTACACCCCTCTCAAACCACCTGTCTTCTTTGTCCAAAATGGACATTCTGGTCCCCAAAAGAATGTCCTTTGTCCATAAAGTGTAGATGTACCGCCGAGTCTTGTCTGGAGGACGTCGCTTTTCTGTGTTGGGCCATGCGTCTGTGGAGAGGTTGTTTGGTTTCTCCAATATAAAGATCAGAGCATTCCTCACTGCATTGAACTGCATACACCACTCTGCTCATATTTGGTCTGGGAGGTTTGTCCTTAGGATGCACTAGCCTCTATCTGAGGGTCTTGTTTGGTTTGAAATGTACTGGGATTTTGTATTTGGAGAAAATCCTCTTGAACGTATGGGATGGTGATGTTTTTGCATTTAATCTTCTCCCTGTTATGCTCTGCTGCATGTCTTTTGGATTTTCTAAGACAAACGTATCACCTTTCTTTTCCTCTTAATGCACCATACAGTTTTAAAATGTTGGCCTGATGTTGATCTGATAATATAGGAGAGATAAAGTAATTAAGGTGAAGAGGCGAGGCATAGTTGAAAAGTGACAAATATGAGCTACAGAAATGTTTCTTGCAGGAGGCTTGTTTCACTAATACAAACATTTTATGATATGCTGTTATAGAAAGAAACTATATAAAAGGAGGTTATCTCAATGTTTAGGATGTCTAAAGATCTATATAGTCAAACAGAGCATCAGGAGGAATCTGCAGTATAATTTGTATTATCTAAGTTCTATTCAGTCCTCTTCTTTGTGTTTGTCAGGGCGTGGAAGGGACCGGCCTGGCATTCATAGCATTCACTGAGGTGATGGCGCTCTTCCCGGCCAGCCCCTTCTGGTCCACGCTGTTTTTCCTGATGCTCCTCAACCTGGGCCTGAGCACCATGTTTGGGACCATGCAGGGAATCCTCACGCCTCTCATGGACAACTTTAAGCTCTTGGGGCGCCATCGAACCCTCCTCACAGGTACTAGAGCACACAATACTTTAGAGCATGCAATACTTTAGAGCATGCAATACTTTAGAGCATGCAGTAGCCGGCAGTTTCTTTGGCAGAATTCATACAGTGATTTTGGCTTGTAAATTCTTTGACAATATTTGAAACTGTCAGCAGAGATGCTTTAGGATGAACTGAGCCCCCTTTCCAGCAATATGTATAAGGTCCAGCTGAAGATTTCCTTGTTTTTATTAAACTACAACCTATGAACTACTTCAACGTATCTTTTGGGGATTTTACATCATAGCTTATCATTTTAAGAAAGATAAATATTTGTTTTGGATTTTGGGGGGTGGAGCAAGTAATTAGTTATTTTTTAAGTCTTGCCTGAAGACTTTTATTGGATTTATATTGAAAAAAACAATATATAAATGAAAAAGGTTGTTGTTGTTTTTTTTTGGTTGCTCAGAGTTATTTTTATAAACATCTTGCTGTGTTTCTGCCTGTTTTTCAGTGTTCAGCTGCGTTTTGGGGTTCATCATCGGATTATTGTTCACCCAACGATCCGGAAATTATTTTGTGACAATGTTTGACGACTATTCTGCAACCCTTCCACTCGTCATCGTTGTAATTTTCGAAACAATCAGTGTGGCGTGGGTTTATGGCACAGATCGGTAAGAGATCATCACTATTTCTAGCATTTTTTACTAACTTGTTTCATGGTCATGTCATCTCTTTTTTTTAACTAAAATACCTGCCTTGTTGAATGTTTCTCATCTCCACAGTTTCCTGGATGATATTGAAATCATGCTCAAGTGGCGCCCTCCAGTGGTTTACAAATATCTCTGGAAATATGTGTGTTTGCTGGCCATGATTGGTCTTCTTGCTGCCAGTTTACTGCGAATGGTTTTCAAGCGACCCACATACACTGCCTGGAATCAAACAGCAGTAAGATTCACTTGTTTTAATCTGACTTATAAGTTTAAAGCTAAACTAATAGTTTATGTTTTAAATATTGCAAACTAGAATTTATGTCAGCTTTGGTTTAAAATGTAAAGAAATTGTTGTTAATTTGTCTCACCTTTTCACTACATTTTCTTTCTCCACTTCAACCACGTGAATTATTTAGAATATTGTTTACAGTTAATTTCTTTCTTTATATATATATATATATATAATTTAATATCTAGATTTAGTAAACACATTATAATATAATGTGTTTTATTTCTTTCATAAAGCCCAGATTTAGTTTCTCTTTTCTTCTCTTCGACCTCCGAAACACTTTGTTTATTAACTGTACTGTTGTCAGTATTGGGTCTTGCATAGAGGATTTCAGTCTGTGGCACTACTGAGGTATAATTGAAGCCTTGGTTGCATTTATAGCAGCATCCAGCTTGTCTGTTTTCCTTAATCGCCTAAAGTTTTCCTTCTACTCAACTTTCTATTAATATAGTCGGATACAGCCCTCTGTGAACAACCAGGATTAAATTATGTCCTCATGAGTTTTTGATCATCTAACATTTTCATTCAAATTATATTTTTTTTATTAGTTAAAATTTTCTAAGCTATTAAGAAACTGAAAGGTTTTATTTTTTGTTTGCCTCAGTTGAAAGCAATGGTTAGCTAATAATAATAGGAATAAAAGCTTATAGTGTATCAGTCTTCTTATAATAAATTTATTTTGAAAAGAGGGTGTTTCAATTTTTCATTTTGTTACTAATGCATCAACGTTTTTTTTATGTAGATGCATTTGTGCAAGAAATCAAGTCAGTGTTAACTAAATATAGAGGCTCACAGGCTTCTTTAGCTTGGTTTTTAGCCTCAGTGCCACCTTGTTCACCCTCTGCTCTCCTGTTTGTCTTTTCAGGCTTCAGAGATGACTCTTGAGTACCCAAGCTGGGCCCTGGCTATGATTGTCATGCTCATAGTGTTCGCCAGCCTCCCTGTGCCTGTCGGCTACATCCATTCCATGCTTAAAAGCCGCACCGCCCTTGACGTTCCTCCTCAGGAGGGCCCTGGCCCAGAGGTGCACCGCGAACTGTATACCAAATGCAACTCCAACGATCAGCTGGACTCCAACTCTCATCCGGTATCCTGTGAAGAAGATGGGGTTCCTCCCAGGACTTCCTTTCTGCTGGTGGGCAATGAGCAATACAGGCTCTTGCCCCAGCAGGAGGAGGAGGGGGAAGAGGGAGAGGAAGAGGAGCAAGACACAGGGGTCTGAGGATGATATTTGGGCCGATAAAAATTTGAACTGTGATGAGGAAAAGCAAGAGGAGGGAAAGAAAACAACAGTATAGACTAAAGTGAAAACAGTCAGTTACAGCATTTTTTATTTTTCATTTTTTTATCAGAGCAATTATCTCGGTTTGCACCATAATATTCCCCAACACTAGTGTTAATAAGCCTAAATCGTTGAAGTATTTATATCAAATCCAACTCCTCTGTTTGGCTTCCTACCTCCACTTTCTGAACTTTGCATAAGCTACCTGAAAAGGGACATGCAACTGGTTGTACTACCTTCATAACTAAGCTGCTGGTGATGAATCAGGCCACCAGTCCGCTAAGAGGAGGATCTTTTTAGATAAAAATTAATTTGCCAAAGCAACTATACTTTTAAGAAACTGTGATGTATTTGCATGTCTGCGTGTAAAAGTGGTGTGAATGTGCGCGTTTTTGTGATTAGTGATATGAAATTGGAGCAACTGAAAGATGGAGCTTAGCATTCTAATGTCTTCACAAGACAACATATCAGGCACCATCCTGTCTTTGCTTTTATTTGTCTTATTTTAGGGTTGACTCATTATTTCTCTTAGGGGAGCTTTTATCTTTTGTTGTTTCACACATTTTAAGGTTGGCGGCTTGTTTCTACACTACACTGTCCTGTTTGTTACTGTGGAGTGTTGTTTGCTGGGTAATACGTAATCAAGATGACCAACAAAGAAACCACAAGTTCAACCCTTTTCAAAAGATATAAATAACTAAAGTCATTTGTTTTACTTTGTTGTGAACTGAGTATGAGAAAAATGAAATAAATATTCTTAATTTTAAAGGTTGAAATTATGGCAAAAACATACTTAAATGGTAACTAATTAAAGAAAAAAATTAAAGGATCAGTATTGAATTATTCAATGATGAGGAAATAAGCCATTTTAAACCAAAAATAGATTAGAAAGATTTTTTGTGTGTTTGAGTAAATTTAGGTGTTTTCAGCAGCAAGCCAAACGTTTACAACAGAAGAAATAAAACTGTACAGTCAATAAAAGCGACATACTCAGATTAAATGAAACATGCTACTGAGTAGGATGATTTGAAAAGAAAAATTAGCAGACAGATGTTAACTTATTCAGTTTGTTCTAGATCTTATCGATCTCTCACTGTCTTTTAAAGGGAATTGGCCCCTATGCTTCCTTTTTTTCCTTCCTAATCCTCTGGTACCCTGTTTTCTGTGAGTTCTACTTCTGTTTTTTTTAACTAAATATGAGGTTTTTCAAGTAACTTCTTACTTTTTAGTCAATATTTTTGTTCAATATATCATTAGTTGTTTTTCCTTAAAAGCTATTGAAACAACATATTTCTCCATTCTATTGTTCCACTCTCTTCAGACTCATTTGTATTATTACACATGTGTGGCTATTTGTTTCAGAAATAAAAATGAAAGGTGAGCTATTTTCTTTAGCATTAAGTTGATTCCATTTTATTTTCTTTATCTTCTTTCACCTCTATGTTTTATTTACCTGTGGGACATGGGTGGTTTGAGTGCCTCTGTTCTGAACCGCTTTGGTTTTGAAATAAAGATAATGTGAAAGTAAGACTATTTGGGGTTTTTATTGTGGATTTTACATCAGAAGATCATGTTATGTGTTCATATATCTGTGGTGTGCTGTGCAAAATGGCAACTTAACTAAATCTCTGAAATGCATTAGTCTAGCCTGATTTTTTTTTCTATTCACCAACTCTTAACTTAATGTCTTTTAACTGCAGTTTTCTTTTTGTATGTTTTTGTCCAAAATTGGGTAGCTGGTATCAATTGCATTGCTTCTTAACAAGCATCTATAACCTGCATGAGCAGATAGTTTAAAATGAATCCCTTCATTTAGCAAAGAAAATAAGTGTTTTCACATGGAAAATGAATGGAAGGTGGATTTATTCAGCTGGCAGCACTATCTGTCCTTATGCAGTATTCTCAGATTAAGCATATTGTGATCATAAAAAAAGATGTTAATCTCCATCAAACAATCTAAATAAAGATTAATTATATTTGCTTTGTGAAAAAAATGGTTTAAAAAAAAAAAGACCTTGAAAGATAATTGATGGTGATTAATTTAGGGAAAAAAACAGCAGCAGAGTTTACAAATTTGCTACAGAAGTTTAAGTGTTTCTCCTCCCATGATGCAAATGAGACATAAGGAATTGAAAACTGAACATCTCTGTGGCTTTAAAAAACAGAACAGTGAAGCTATTCAGATGCTTGAGGGTTTTCCCTCTTTTTAAAGGTAAGAAGCAATTTGCTCAGAGCTCTTTAAGCCTCCCTAAGATCACTTCCTGACAATGTCTTGATTTATCAAAAGTATTCAATTCTTTACTGAAGTACGGATAACTGTGTTTTAAAAAAAAAATTCTGATAAAAGAAAAAGCTCCTTTATTTACGTGAAAGTAAAAACGTACAGGTTTTACGTTATACTTGAGTACAAAGTTAAAATGTAGTGTGGAGTTTGGAAGATGAGACAGCGGCACATCCTGCAAGAAATAAGGTTCAAATTTATTTAACATCCTCAGACGGAGAGATAGGGCTCTGACTGGGGCATTCTCAGCACATACATTTATATCTTACAATTTCCCAACACACACACTCCCCCCAGGGGAACCAACCCACCCCCTGCATGAAGAACTTTCTCACACTTGAACATTGAGGCAAAACACCTTGAGTTCATCAGGGAAATTCCCTGTTAGGTTAATACATCTTTATATATTTGTATATCTTTCACTGGCCAGATTCTCAAAACAACAGTCCTCCTCTTCATGCCATGAAGGAGGCTGTGTACTGTAACTTATTCTCTCATGACCTTCGTTTGGAGCCTGTGAGGCTAAGAACAGACATACCTCAACATTTTTTACTCCACAGTAGTCTTTGCCTTAACTCCTTGATGGCAAAATATATATACAGCTGTGCATGAAAGTGTACATACCCTCCCATTAAAGAAAATGAGAAATCCACACTAGTAATTCAAATAACAGAAAACGAAAAAGTAATCCTAAATATAATTAACTAAATTATAATTTAGTAAAATAAAATATTGGTTTTGAATTTTTGTTTAAAACAAATTCTAGAAAACAAACTGTCCCAGACTTCCTCAGTGTTCCTTCACTAAACAAACATACCTGGTGCAGAAGCCTGACTGAACATTTCCTAAACATTACAGAAAACACAAAACATATATATATATATATATATATATGTGTGTGTGTGTGTATATATATGTATACCAACTTATAAAGACCTACTTTATGTTTATTTAAAAAAGATAAGGTGAATGGTAGCCATTAAGAACCGATGGTGTAATAGAACCAAAAGCTGGGCAAATGTCCACACTGAGTGTGTAATACCTGGCTCTGTGGGCATGCACATGCTATCTTGGCTATATATGTATACAAAGGGTTAGTTTCATATTTGTAACAATGGACATCAAGAGGTTAAATTATACTAAATAACTTTTAAAGCATTCTTTAAAAAAATATTTTATTCACAGAAAATGGGTAATTTTTCCACTGATATTTACTGTGCCGGTAGAGACATAATACTTACATGGTCTTATTTTGCTCTAAAATAAAATTTTAAATAGTTTGAAGTGAACAGAAGTCCTACGTGAACAGTTGTATGCTTTTAATACTTTTAATGCTTTGGCAATCACAGCACTAAAGCTATATTAGAAATAACTTAAATAAATCTAATAAAGAGGTTATGGATGGAGGATTTCATCATCTGAAAATTTTCCAGCCTCCTGCCTTCATTCTTGTTGCTCTCAGTGTTTTTAGGTAAACAGGACAGATTCTCTTCAAACCCTTATTTTTCCTCCTCTGTGTTGTTGCACTTGTTACATTGTGTTATTATTAATAAATATGGAATAAATCAGCCAGTTTTGAGAAAGCAAGGAATAAAAAGCACAGATATTTATCCTCAATTGAAGCAACAATAACAAATTAGAAAAATAAATACTGAGTAAAATACTAGTACAGAAAAAAGCTACTTAAGTACAGAAGCAATGTATTCACTTGGTAACTCAACACCTGTGCTGCTAGATCGCCTGTTTTTGTATCATAGAGCATTTTAACTGGCATTAGAGAGAAGTGACAGAGAAGTTTAATCTGTGTCTTTACCAATCAAATCAATAAACATTTTAAATTACTGAAACGTTTTATTCACCAGAGTAAATACCACGCATTCTAATTGTATCTATAATTTCATATATTTCTAATTTTATCTTTCCTATATATATTTTTTTTTTATTTGGCACTCTAGTTTCAGTAGAAAGAAATGACTGGCTTTATTTGGATACATTTATGTGTTATTTTTTTCCACAAGAAAACATATTTTTCACATTTTTATGAATTCTTGAAATGGTCAGAAAAGGGAAAAAAATACAAAATTTTTCAAACCCTCAGGTACTTTGTGAGAAATTATATAGTTTTTTCAAAAGTACCTGCAGCCACTTCCACCTGGCCCGACGCAACAGAAGTGTTGGTGTGGTTAGGGAGGGAGGAGAGAGGGATAAACTGTGAGGAAGAGGAGCGCAGCCCGTGCAGGCGGGACAGCGGGGCGCGCAGGACATCAGCACACCGGCCGGGTCAAGGAGCTGCAAGGATGGAGATCCGACCGGACAGGTTCAAGGCGGTGGCGGGTAAAACCTTGGGGAAAATTCACAGGTATGCAATAAAGATTCATTTTAATTATTTCAAGCTCAGATTTTGACGCCTACCGGCGTCTTTACGCACGCTGTCTGTTAAAACGCACCATCATGTTTGTGTTTGTTAGATTTCTCTTTACAGTTTAGAAAAACCTATTAAACTCAACTATAACTAATAGTACCACACGCGGTGCTGATTTTGTCTTTTAAACCATAGAGGAACATTTTTGTGCTTCACTTTCAGCAGTTTAAGGATGAGAGAAATGAAGAAAATGGGTCAGCCGCTGGAGAGCAACTAAAAAATATGTATTTTTATTTTTTTAATCTCTTTTTTTTTCAAATTTCCTTTTTTTCTTTATTTTTTACATATGGAGAGTTTAAACAGAATCGATATTTGTAATTGTAAGATCTGTCCTAGGAAATAATGGTTACATAATACTTTAGCTCTTTACTGGCCTTGATGTCATCCATCCATCCATTCTTCCATTCATCCATTTATCTATCCTTCCATCCATCCATCCATCCATCCATCCATCCATCCATCCATCCATCCATCCATCCATAAATTTATGGATAAATTCAAAATAAAAAAAATGGTTGACAAAAAGAGAGTCAGAAAAGGAAAGGCAGAAAAAGAAAGAAACTGAAATAAAATATATAGAATTGTTTTTTGTATTTGCTTTCACCATGACTAACCACTGTCTCTGTATATTTATAAGGAAACCACCTCAGAGATTTACTTAGTTTGTAAAAACACCTTACTTGTCCTGGTTTAGATATGAAAAATGCTGAACGTAAAATAGCAGATGAACAAAACATGTAGTCTTCAGGTAGTCTTGATGAATATTATAAATATAGATATATAATTTTTCATTTTGATATCTAATTAGTGTTACTGTTGCAACCAGAAAAGTATTTGAATTAAAAATTTCTATTAATAAAAGTAGTTCTTAAAAGACTTTTTTTTAGAATATAGGACTTATTTTACAGTCTCTCAATTTTGCAGTTTGCCTCTTCAATTTGTTAAAAGAAAAATCACATTTTTAATTTTGATAATTGAATAAAAACTCTGGAGGTATTTGCTGAAAATATGGGAGAAGTTGCATAAAGACATTCAAGCAGTTCATATCAATTCAAGAGTTGCACCAGGCTGGTCTTCTGACAATATTTCATGTAGAAAAAAAAAGAGATTAAAGACACTGATAGAACCTCATGCAATAACCACCGCTTTAAGCTTCCGCTCTCTCTGGATTTGAGGTAGCAACCAAACGTACAAATCCCG